GAAACACCGGGGGCTGAGCTTCTGGGGGCCACAGCAGGGCCGCACAGGCTGCTGTGGCCCCTGGCCAGCTTCCTGCATAAACGGGCTCCCTCCAAGAGCAGCCAGCACCGGGAGGGGACTGCAGCTGTCACCGGGGGCCTGGGGGCCCTATGGGGTCCCCTCATACAGAGCTGGCACATCCCACAAGCTCTTCCTCACACGTGACCAAGGCACGGGGAACTCCTGCTCAGGAACCAGCGTGCCCCTCTGACCACACCACTCGCTCCCCGCGCCCTCCACCCCTGCACTGCCCTTCCCGGCTCTCCTCACAGATGGCACACCCTGCCTGCCACGCTCTCTCCAAGGCTGTCCTCGCCCTTCTAGAACATGGCTCAGGGAGGGCGACCTTGTCTATTATCATCACTGCTGTCACCGCATGTCGAAGCAGGGCTGGCACAAAGGGAGGGCCTGCCAGCACTTGTCAAGGAAAGAACCAATTGGGTTAAATGAATTGGATTAAAACTCCCCTTCCAGCTCTGCTCTTTGAAAATGCAAATACCCCTGAGAAGAAAGAGACCTCCCAGCCTAGGATAAGAGGCCTGGGGCAAGGCGGCGTGCGGTGTGCTGGCCAGTGTGGACCGCCCGGCCCCGGATGATGCACGCACACGTGTGTTACATGAAGGCCATGTGCATGCAACTACAGGACTACCCAAATACAACACCACTATCCTAGCCCAGGATCTCAAGGAAGTTTCATCCGCTCTTACTCTTTGCCAGCCGATAGTTCCTCTGCTTTTTTTTGAATTATGTATTTAATTTAATTGATTAGTATTTTAAAATTTGCACTCACCAGAGAGGGAAAGTAAGAAAGCAAACCACCAGGCCCAGGACTCGAGCTGAGGAGGGCCATGTGGGCGTCCAGTGCCTTAACTACCATGTCGCCTGCCGGCCTGATTGTTTTCTATCTTATTTTTCTTTTCATTTGTTAGAGGGCATTTGTGCTTGCCAGAGACAAAGACAGCGAGAATGGGAGAGGAAGAAAGCACCTCACAGTGGGATGTGGCCATGCCACAATTCTTCCTCCACTCCTCCCCCCGTCAGGAGTGTGGACACACGTATGTGCCTGGCATGTTTTCCAAGCCACTAGGGCAGGGATGTGAACCATCGGTCATGGGGGATCCTGTTCCCTTAATCATTAGGCTGGGGGCTGGCCCAGGGCCAGCAGGTCGCATGGCGGTTAAGGATGCTGGACTCCCACATGGCGGCCACAGTTCAAGTTCCAGACCTGGAACTTTCCCTCATTCTCACTTTCCCTCATTCTCGCTTTCACTCTGTCCCTCTCTGGTTGAATTTAAAAGAAGTAAAGTTAAATTAAAAAAAAAAAACAAGACAGCAGTGCCAAAGATTTGAAAGAAGTTTTAGTGTAATGAATCTAACTTGCGCAGGGGTGAGAAATCGTTTATCAGCAGACCACCCATCAGACCGAGTAACAGCAGCTCCAACTTCACTGGAAAAGCGCTGACAGTTACTGGCATGCAGCTTCGCTCCTCGAATCATGGTTGAGGGCCGGCCCCCAGCCTAGCAACTAACGGAACAGGATCCCCCAAGGCCGATGGCTCACACCCTGCCCTGGTGGCTTAGAAAACATGCCGGGCACATACGTGTGTCCACACTCCTGATGGGGGAGGAAGAGTTGTGGCATGGCAACATCCCGTTGTGAGGTGATCTTTTTTTTTTTTGGAGAGGGTTTTGCTATAGGGCGCGTGCGCTCACCAGAAAGACAGAGAGAGACAGAGAGACAGAAAGTGAGAAATCACCCCCCAGGGGGGATGGCCACGCCGCAATCCCTTCTCCATTCTCCTTCGGGATCTTGGGCACGCACGCACATGCGCCGGCATGAGTTTAAGCCACCGGGTCCTGGACTCGAACTGCGGTCTACATGGGAATCCAGGGACATAGCCATTACGCTAACTGCTGGTCCCTCATTATTATTGTTATTGCCATAAGGTGTGTATACTCACTGGGGAGTGGCAGAGAGAGGGGAAAGTGAGAAATTACCCACTATGGGGGAGGGCGTGGAAGGCCACGCTGAGATCCCTTCTACTCTTTTGGGCACACGGGCATACCTGGTCTGGGACTCAAACTGTGGTGGGCCATGTGGGAGTCCAGTCCCTCCCCCAATCCCGTTTTTTTTTTTTTTTTAGATAGATATTTGCTATAGGGCACGTACACTCCCAAGAAAGACCAGAGAGAGACATAAAGCAAGATGGGACCAGCAGTTAGCGTAATGGCTATGTCGCTGGACTCCCTTGTAGTTGACCACAGTTCAAGTCCTGGACCCGGTAGCTTAAACTCATGCCGGGTGCGTGTGTGTGCGTGCCCAAGATCCTGAGGGGAGAATGGAGGAGAAGGGATTGCGGTGTGGCCATACCCCCAGGGGCTGACTTCTCACTTTCTGTCTCTGTCTGTCTGGCGAGTGCACGCACCCTATAGCAAAAACCTCTCCAAAAAAAGAAAAACCAAGCAAGAAATACAATACTTGGGGGGATGACCACGCTGCAATCCCTTCTCCTCCATTCTCCTCTTGAGATTTTGGGCACGCACGCACACGCACCCAGCGTGAGTTTAAGCCGTGGGATCTGGACTTGAACTGCGGTCGACTACGTGGGAGTCCAGCGATGTAACCATTCACCATCTGCTGGTCCCCTCCCTGGGTTTTTAACTGCCTGCTCTGGCCTTCCTCCAGTCTCCATCCTCCTGTTGGGATGAGTTCAAGGGTTCTACCAGAAGGTACCACCTGGAATCCAGGACCAACTCCCTTCTGGACCAAGCTCCGGATCCCCAAAACTCTGGACCCCCTGCCTGGGTAACCGCAAGTCCCCTCCAGGGTTTGTTGACCCTGCCCTGGGTCAGTGGGTGTATGGGCCTCAGGGCCTCAACTGTACCCCAGTTCTGGGAGGCACTCCCTGAGGTGACTTCCGCAGAGCAGGCAGCACTGGATACTCCGGTGGCTCCAGGCCCGAGGCTCTGGGGGGCGCCCCGCCTCTCCTGCCATGCTAGGGGCTGCAGCCACCAGGTCCCTCTGGCCCAAGCTGGGCACTGAATTCTCGGTAATGCAACTCCTCCCTCCCCCGCCTTGCGGAAACCAGAGCCTGCACTGCAGGAAATGGAAACTGAAGCCTGGCAGGCCGGGCAGGCTGGGCACCCAGGGAATAGAGTGCTTGCACCCGGCGGGGCTCCATGCAAGGGCAGAAGGGACCCCGCCTCACAGCCCCACTTGACAGACGCGTCCAGCCCCGGGTGCAGAGGGGGTGTCCCATCCCAGCCGCCTCCAAAGCCCCTCCCTC